CCCCAAAACCCCAAAACCCCAAAACCCCAAAACCCCATGAAGAACAGATAAAGTTATATGATTTGATTTCTATGATATTATCAAAATTTTAAAATGAAAACTCAAATTATCCTATTGGGTTCAATTGGACTACTCTTAAACTTTGGATATAGCAAGTAAGCATAGAAAAAAGTGGACACTCCCTCAGTTGAAGCTTAAAATGATATCATAGCTTATGGTTTTGGTGCTATGTCAGGGCTATATTCTGCCTATGCAAATGATTAGAATGATTGCTTTGGAAGTGCATGGTAAGTCTCTTAGGATTTGGTGAAATTTTCCGAATATCAAAAGTACACTTTCAAAGAGCCGATAGCTTGGATCACATATTTTGTTGATGCGGCATTTTTCGCTCATGATCTGATTTACTCACTTCAAAATTGCGGATACAGCATCGCTGTAAGTGTTTCAAGATAATCACCAGGAATTCATCTAGTACAAGCACAGAAGAAACTTATACCTGATATTGTTTCCTAAATTCTAAAACCTATTATGATTTTACTTGAGGGGGTAGACATTTACTTAACTCTAAGCAGTGCATACAAATATTTCCTTACAAAACATATCACTTCATTCATTGCTAGCGCCGCCTTTTATTTGCTCAGTTTACTATGAATATTAAACTTTAATTTAATCACTTAATTTGATACGATTAATATGCTGATTTATGAAATTAAGATTAATGATAGATTAATATATCTATGGATCTAAGTTTGAGCTCACTATTGTGTACTCGGTGGATTTTTCATTGTACCCCTCTATTAAACTTTCTCATTGAAGAAATTTGATTCGTCTTTTATTATATATTTCTCTCATTTCTATCATGAATCTGCAATTAGTTTTGATGCAAAAGATTTGAAGTTGGGTTGAATTGATTTATAGGGATAAGCATGAGACTATCCTCTTCTTTTGATAGGTTTCTTTCAAACTACCTATTCATCTTTGACACACTCTTTGGTAATGATTATTGGTGCTGATTTGTATAAGAGTGAATAGAGCTATAAGCATTAGTGGCTTTTTCTAATATCTTTGAAGCCTTAATTGGTATCTTTTGCTTAGGCAACTCTAGATTGCCGAGATTCAAGTTATTGTTGAAATTCATTAAAGTACTATTATATTGTCTTGAAGGTTACTGAATATGAGTGGATCTAATATTGGACAAATCTCTTTGCCCTATTTACTCTATTGAAAGCTTATTTTTCATTTCAATAGGACTTATTGATTGATTCAGTTGCTCATTTGCAGAGGCATATAGCATATTTCTTGATTTTCTATTGGGATTTATCTCTGGCATGAGTATAAGCTTTTCTTTTGATTCTAAAATTTTGGCTCTTGAGAGATTTTTTGGGGACTGGGATTTGTTATTGTTGTATTTTTTCAAGAGTGATTAATTTTATATCTTGTTATGGTTTCCTCTTTTTACATTAATAGGCAGATCAATAACCCCATAATCAGCTAGATCATTATTATCAGCTGTAAGATTTAGTACATCTCTAGAAGATTCTCCTATTTCTACTTTCCTTGTAGATTTTATCTATTTACCATCATAGGTCTCTTTGATTCTCAAAATCTCTTTGGGCAGTCCTCTTGCCAATATCTCTTATTGCTTAAGTTTAAGTTCTTCTGATCTTTAATACTCGGCGCATAGCTCACTCAACCTTGATACTAAGTTAATATTGAATTCCATGAGATTGCTCTTAGATTAAATCTAGTTAAAGGGTTGCTTAGAAATCATTTAATTCCAACTAGACTCTATCATGACTTTTATAGCATTCCATAGATGATTCAAAGCAAAAAGCTGACCATTCATGTTTATCGTAGGCATCTTGAAAACACCTCCTTAAGGCATAATATAAGGATCAAATTATGAGCCAATTGTAGTCTCAACAATATTTACTTCAATTAAATTGGTCATTAGACAGGCTAAATTCATGATTTATTCTTGCAATTTTGAGTCTTCTTACCTTAGATTTTGGAAATCTTTCTAATTCTTATCTTGAGCCAAGTGTAAATCACTTCTTTCTCTCTTTATCTTAATAATCTCCAGGTCAAATTGTTCCCCAGTTTCTATTTACTTCAAATATAATTGCTCATCAAATTCCTTTAACTTATAGATTTGCTACTACAAGTCATTCTTAAAATAGTTCATATTACTTTCTGTTTTGCTGATTCTAGTAACAAGCTCATGATTATGCTCATTATTTCTGATAAATTTCAAATCCCTGCCCATCACTTCCAACTACTCTCTAAATGATTATATTGTTTCATTGATCTTATTATGATTGTATTTTGACTCTATAAACTACTGAAGATCAATAAGCTTATTTTCATACTTCAACTCTTAGTCTTGAAAAATTTCTTGAAGTTTGAAAATTTTCTCATTGAATTCATCTTATGAAACAAATTGAGGGTGAAGTAAAATCTTCTTCATTATTAGTTGAAATTCTCCCTCGTCAAAACTTTCATCAATGTTTACCTAACTTTTTACTTCATTGTCCTCCTACTCCTCTTATATATTGTCTTAGCCTTCTTCAAAATCAGCCACATTAAGCTCTTACTTTTAGCTTATTTCATCACCTTATCTCTTTAAAATCAACTCTTATTTTTAATAAGTATCAATACTTTTATCCTAATTACTAATTCTTGCTGTAATAATTTAGCTATGCCCAAATAATTCTATCTTATTACTATCATTATTAATTTATTGCTCCTCAATACTTCCTAGATTCAAACTGTTTTAATTAATTTCTAATGCAATTTATTTGTTGACTTTCTTCTCAGACATGACATCTCTTTATTCTTTCAGGTACTCTCTGACAGCTAAAGCATCTTACTGCTTATACTTGGTAGATCTCCTGTCAACGTTAAACATCCCCATCTCGCTAAATTCTTTGGCTAAGCTGACATGGCCGTTACTACTCCCACCTTAACTTACTTTTTGATTTTTAAAATTCCTATGAAGGTCACTGTTATTTTAATGCTAATTTAGAGCGTATATTTTCCAAAAAGGAACTTTTTTGAGACTCTTAGCTTGACTTAACTAATCTTCCTTATCTTTAATACTTTCATATTTGGGCCAATGAATGTCATCAAAGAGAGGCTTTTCATCCTCTTCCTTTATTGTATCGTTTTGAAAGATATGTTCGTACTAAGATCTCCAATCTAAATAGTTTTAAATGTTGGTATTCTGATAATCACTAAGTTTCTTCAAATTTTGATTTTGTCCAAATATCTACTCAAACATCTGAATCTAGTTTTTCAATATTATCTTTTCTACCTCTTTTGGATCGAATTCCTAAGAAGGTCTAAGTATATTATCTATTTAAAGATTCGACTTTCTAATTTCACTTAATTCTTCTTGCATCTTATTTACTTGCTACCTGAAACTAACACCTCCATCACCATGAAATGCGTTTTCTGACAAGCTTTATTTGCCTCCATAAGTAAATGGAAATCTGCTATTTTCAATTGTCTCTCTCAACTCTTCAATCATAGTATTTAGATGCTTAAACTTAAGGTCATTTCCCTGAGTGAATTCCTTTACACTCTGAACTTTTATCATTACTTCTTACATATCACTTTTAAGATCTCTATGGCTTTGGTCCATTTGATGTATACTTCTCATGAATTCTTGTGACATATCCTTAAATCTCTATGTTACACTTTATTTATACTGATCTGTCACATCTTGCATTGCTTTTTGTACATTTTTAATTTTCTCATCATATCTGTGAAAATCATTGACATCATTTTGAGTAACTTTCCACCTGGTATTTATCGTTTCAAGTTTTTCTAGAATTTACTAAATATCATTTTTTTGCAATGCCTTGACATTTTATAACTCACAGTCCTATTTAAAATAAAAGAAATAATAGTTTACCAAATCCCTTGTGAGCTTATCAAGTTTATCGAGAACATCATTTCTCTTTGTAAGTTTATCTAACTTAAGATGGGTATCATCATATTTGTTTGCTATGATGACATGCAACTTTTTGATTTCATCTATTGTATCGTAAGTTGCAAATTGTTTCTTTGTAATCGGTTCAATCACTTCAAATATGACATTTCTAATTTTGGTTTCGAAATTGAACCAGTCGATATCAATATCTCCTTAGCTTTTAGGTTGTTATAGTATCGACTTTCTCGCATGATAATCTCATTGATCCACATTTTAAAGCTTCTTAAGAATAGTCTGAGTATCCTTCTTATCAGATTCAAAAATAGAACTATTATTTTACTGCTACTATTGATCCATAATTGAGTCTTTCTTCCTTAAAGCTAAAGTCTATGACACAGAGACTGAATCCCTTGTATTCGATGCTCCAATATTGTGATTATTTGAAGAGCTCCTATCCTCACTCATTAAAAGATTAATATAATTTATCAATAAATTTTAGTTTAAGCTAAATTATATATCTCTAAAGAGTTATTATTAAAAATGAAGTCTATTAGCAAGATATTCATCTTGACAGCCATCTTATCACTGCTTATTTGTTTTACCTCGCAGTAGTAGAACTAAAGGAAGAAGTTTAAGAAATGCGATGATTCTTAGTTCTGCTTGAGATATAGATAGTTCATAGATCGATAACTAAACAAGGAATTATTCACATATTACGTTGAGCCGAGTTAAATCTAAGTAGTAAGCATAACTTAGCAAAATAAGTGACCTCTTATAGCACTCATCAGAAATTTATGGGGTATTAGTGAACTCTAATAGTGAAAAGTTTTACTTGAGATTCAAAATGAGCATGTATAGTGGTGGCATTTTGAGGGTGGTAATTGATGATGTGAAAACTGGCAATCATAAAAGGTTTAGAACATCTTCTGTAATGGGATTTGAGTATTTAACTCTAGATGCATAAAATTTCACCGTTCTAGAATAAAATGATTAGAGAATCATTATTGAGACTTAAAGTTCTATTAAGCTAAACTATTTCAGGGAAAGTAATTATAATAGTCTTAAGACAATTATTGATAACCTATTGTAGAGAGTGCGAGAAATTCAACGTAAAAGTACATAATAAACTTCAAACCGTTCAAGATCGAATGCTATTTAGATGATATGCTTATACTTAAGGTTAATAACAATCAGCTGTTCAACTTTGAGTATGAAAGAACGGTTAAAGAGCATTTCTAGTTATTCAATAAGGTGCCTTATGATGCCACCTACAAATATCAATTTGAAATAAACGAAAAGAATCAGTTTACTGAAATGTTTGATGGCTATGTTGATATAAACACTTTTGGCCCAAGATCCATTGGCATAGATTTTGAATTCAATTAAGACCACTTATTTGGAATTCCTGAGCATGCTATAGATTTTTTACTTAAAGACACACTTTTCACAGCTGAGGATGAAAATCCATATAGATTGTACAATATTGATGTGTTTCCTTACAAACTGAACTCTACTTAAGCCCTCTATGGATCGATACCTTATCTCTTATCCCACTCAGCCAATCACGAAGAAGGAAATGCTGGAGTCTACTGGTCAAATGCTGCAGAAACATGGGTTGACTTGATGACACCAAATCTACCATTTAGTCCATTTGAGAATTAAGAAAGTCTTAAAAGAGTAGCTACATTCAACAGTGAATCAGGAGTCCTAGAGTTTATAGTAATATTGGGGCACAATCCTGCTGAAGTTACTTAGTAATGGGCTGATGTAAGTGGACATGCTCCTATCCCACCATACTGGTCATTAGGATATCACCAAAGCAAATGGAGTTACGAGAGTGCAAGCGAAGTTGTCCAAGTAAACTTTAAATTTGATCAGCATAGTCTCCCTCTTGATGTTATCTGGCTAGATATTGATGTATGTTAAATTCTATTTATACTTTACTTCTTTAGCATACTAGCAATTTTGAGTACTTTACTTGGAATACTGATAAATTCTCTAATCAATCTCTGGAGATAATGAATGAACTAATCGAGCAAAGAAAGAGAAAAATTGTAGTGATTTCAGATCCTCATATTAGGAAGAATGACTCTTATTTCTTGTATGATGCTATTAAAAAGATTGAGAAAGATGATTACCAATTAGATTAGGAAAAGAGGACCTTGTCTCCTGCCTCTGGGAAATACTTTCTTAGAGACCCGAAATTCCAAGACCGCCCTTTTGAGGGAAGATGCTGGCCAGGTAATAGTGTTTGGTTAGACTTCATGCAACTCAAGGTGAGATAATTCTGGGCTGCACTTTATTAATATGATGTATAACCTAAAACAAACAAGAACTATTTCGTTTGGAATGATATGAATGAGCCTTCAGTTCTAGATAAGCCCGAACTAGCTCTACCAAAGGACGTTATGTAAGTTACACCCTAATTGTAATAATTCTTGAATTAGTCACCACACAGACTAAGGATATTCTGTTGAAAATAGAGAAGTTCACAATCTATATGGAGCACTGATGCATTAATCTTCATACTATGGATTGGTCTTAAGGAATGATGATACAAATTAAAGATCTTTTGTCCTTTCTAGGGCATTCTTCACCGGATCATAAAAGTAAATTAAACATGTAATTTAAAACTTAGATTTGGAGCAGTTTGGACTGGAGATAACGGAAATTTTCATGAGGATATGAAGATATCTGTGCAGATGCTATTGTCTATGTCAGTGGCTGGACTAGGATTTGTAGGTGCTGATATTGGTGGGTTTGCAAATTAAACTGTGGCAAGGGTTATTGTTTAATGGCACAATCTTGCAGTGTTTTATCCATTTATGAGATAACATTGTCACAAGGAAGCAAAGAGAAGAGAGCCTTATCTTTATAAAGGAGAAGCTTTTAACCAGCTATAGAAAAGTTTAAGATTGAGATAGAAATTGATGCCTTACATGTAATCTAATTAGATTAATCTGATTTAGTTATACGAAGTTCTATGAGCATCATGTGTTTGGTACTCCTATAATGAGGCCAATGATGATGGAATTTCCTGATGTCAATAACTCTGCTTATTATAACGAGCAGTACATGTTTGGAGAAATATTCCTTGTAAAGCCAGATGATAAAGATTATACTGAGCTCCCTAAGTAAAATATCATTAATAACAATACTTATAGGACGCAGATGTTCTTCCCTAAAGGAACTTGGTATGACTTCTTTACTTCGACAAGACACTAGGTAAATTTTACTGGATTGTATGAAGTGCCTTAAGAATCTGGAGACTATATCTATGTTTTCGCTAAAGGTGGGACGATCCTTCCAATGAAAGAGAAAGTAAGACTAAGTTCAATGCTTTCAAGAAATGAGTCCTATCTGCTAAATATATATCTTGAAACTAATGAAGCAGGACAGTAATATGCTTAAGGCTTTATTTACCTGGATGATGGAGAAACATTTGATTACTTGAAGAAGGATGAATTTAAGGTCATCAAGTTTGATTACCTAGATGGCACTTTAAATGGAGCAGTTGTTGAAAACGGTGGATACTTCAGAGATTACGAAAGAATAAAGGCTATTTAAATATTTGGTCTTGACAGCGAGAGATTAAATGGAGTTGATGAGCATGCTGTGATAAGTAAACTAGAAGAAGATCAATGGAAACATATGAGGACTATATACCTAGAAAAATTGCCAGAACACGAGATGATCGTAATCATGAACCCTTAAATTGATCTAATGGATAAGGCTTGGAGAGTTGAGATCAAACAAAGAGTAATCAACTAATGAGAAGGGTCTTTGATATGATCATAATGACAATTAAATTAATCTTAATTTAATAACTCCTTAGATTTAATGACAGTAAATCGTATCATAGTTCACCATTAGACTCAATAATATCTATCTCTGAAGGTTAAAATGAGTCAAGATCTGAAAGACTGCTTCTCTTCTTCTCTTTTAGTTGCTTCATTATCAATTCACCATGACATATTAGTCCTTCCAGTTCCAGTGGATATTTCTAAATTGCTTCTTCGACCAAATACTCCAACTCCTCCTCATTTTTGCTCTTAATAGCTAATTTCAATTCCTCCCTTAGACTCTCATATTCCTCTATTATCTCTTGGTGAGGAGTGACTGTGGGATCAAATGTCTCAGCTAATTTTTAATTCCATAAATTCTAGAGAAATTTTACTTGCTTTCTTGCGAGCTGGCATGATGTTGGTCATCATAGTCTCATTTTTAGAGGGGGCGTTCTTTTTTTCAAGCCAGTCAGGTCTGGTCAACTTCCTATCCTTAAAGTTATATCCAATATTCTAAGCAATTTTAATGAAGAAGATGTTACTGTAATGTTTGTCAAATCAGGAGTGAAGTCTAGCAATTGATTCTTTAGAAGTTCATTCATCATTTTAATTCTCGTTGCTCTGTATTTCCATTACTTAAAGCAAGTTAATAAAATGTATACAAGATGGAAAGTTATACCTTACCTTGTCAATGTCAGACTCCTAGTCAATTTTTGAGATCCTATACTGAAGCATGTTCTGGTAAGTCAATCTTTCCTCCTTTTCCTCTCTATGTAGATCTTCTTTGGCCTTCTGATAAAAGGTGTTAGCCTTATTGCTAGCATTTTTAATCGCTTAGCTATTTTTCATTTTATTTTAATTTACAAATCCTCTTGAATCATAACGAATCTAACTCATGGGGTTTTGGGGTTTTGGGGTTTTGGGG